ACTGGCAGAGTTGAGTGGTGGTGATAGAGACCTACGGTCAATAGAACATAACGGCCCTTTGTAGAAGAAAGGATATACTATTTGGCCCTTTACAGAAAAAGTTTGTCATCCTGTCCTCATTCATTAGTAGACAACCAGCTGGTTCCTGGACTTCACCGAGGAAAGTGCCATATTAAGCAGTTGTGTGTATAAAGTCTGGGCTCCAACATTTGCTGTGTGACCTTGGGCAAGTTACTTACCTACTCTGGGTTCATCATGTTCACAGAGGAAACAGGAGTGATGACAGTGAGGATGAAGTGGGATACTGTCTGGACCATGCTTTGCACAGTGTCCGATGGCCAGGAAGGACTCTGTATGAAGTAGTTACTATGATTAGCTATTATATTTCAACTGATGAAAGGCACAAAGAAACTCCCAGGAAGAGGGTCATTGCTGCATGCTGCTCTCTTTAAAGAACGCCCAGCAGTAATCCCCTACAGGGCCAACAAGATATGTGGACATCAAAAGGGAGTGCTCCTATGCAACATACCCAGTAAATTAACGATTTCACTTCCTTTTCAGTTAAAGCAGTGGATCAGAATTTGAAAAGGAGTAAAGGTCAAGGCCATGAGGTTTAACTAACATGACAGCATCAGTGTCTGGCCCACAGTAGGTCCCCGGTATCCACTGGCTGAATGGATGGAGCTGGTTGTTTAACTGTAAAACTATACTCTCTGATGATAAGACCACAGTTACCCAGAAGATAAGGTTTCCGCCTCCAATATTTTTGGGTCTTAGAAAGGAAAACAGTGTGCTAAAGATGACAGGAAACGCAAAACAAGGACCTGCTAATGCTTCTCCCAACTGGACGGAGGCACTGTGATGGATTCCTGGGTAACAGATGGGCAAAGAAAAATGTTTAAAAACAAAAGCTGGCACATAAGGTCATGAATTGCCCAAAATAACCTGTGACACTGAGCAGACGGATGCGAGCAGTGCACCTGATGGAAATGAGGCCAAGCTGATGAGCTGAAATAGCCAACCCTCACTGGTGCCCTACGTCCTGCTTCGGGATGCCTCAGCATGGGAAGGAGGCGCGCATCAGCATTATCCGGTTCAGGTTTCTCACATCCTTAGTGGATTGCTTTCATTCCTAAGTCCCTAAAAAATTGGAAACCACTCCACTTACCAGGAGCACGCCTTGGAATGCAGATCTGGAAGCTATTTTTTCCTTCCAGACATTTCATGACTCTGGTTTCTACACAGCAGGCGATGGTAACGCTGCCAAGTTTCAAGAGAAGGGCACCTTATCTGCAAAGTCACGAATCCAAGGATCCAAATGGGCTCCCATTGGCAAGGGCGGAAGGAAGTTGTTTGTCTTAGCTTCTCGAAAGATCAGAAGCAGATTGGGAGGTTTGGGGTATACAGGTACCTCGTTGTACCGTGGTGTGCCCCCCCCAGGGGAAAGACTGCCGGTAGCTTCTCAGAATCTATAGTGGGTGGGGCTGTGTAGCAGAGTGTCTTAGTAAATGCCCATTTGGTTGCAAATGAACAGAAACTCAAACCAGCTGAAGCAAACAGGGAGCATCTATGGGGAAGAAAAGCCAGTTCCTGACGTCCAAGCCTGACTCTTTAGCTTTGCTTAGCCACTGATTTTCTAATCTTCCTCACTTCCTTCCAATAATCTCTATTTAAGTTAGCCACAGAAAGTATCTGTCGTTTACAACCAAGGGATCTTGAGTGACACAAAGGGTCCTAGTGGAACCCAAGAGCAGGCATTGGCATTGGCCTTCACAAAGAAGGAAACTGGGAATCAGAAAGTCATTGGGAATCAAGGTAGCTTTCTCCCAGGTCAGCTGAGAATGTATTCAGCTTCAAATGGCAGAAAACCCCATGTGAGTAGATTGTAAAAATTTGGAGCCCCTCCCATACTTACTCTGGCTTTATCTGATGGGATGTTAACAAACACAAGGCAAGCAGAGACTTGAAAAGTGCTTGTGCACGGGGGCCCGTTCTCACCTGCTGCTCTGGGGAACCGTGGCCACCACATGTGAACGGGCCTAGTCCAGTGGGCTGAAGGATGAGTGGGCGTGCTGAGCAGAGACAAAGGGCTGCAGCGGAAGGCCTCTCTAGACCACGTTTCTCAACCTCAGTGCTATTGACATTTTAGATAAAATAATTCTTTGCTGTGGGGAGTTCTTTTGTCTATTGTAGATCATGTTTAGCAGCACCTTCGGCCTCTACCTAGTAGATGGGTACCTGCCCCTCCCTCATTGTGACAACCAAAATTATGTCCAGACATGGCCAAAGTTCTCTTGGGGGACAAAATTGCTCCTTGTTGACAAAACTACTGCCCTAACCCAACTCGCCTGCCAAGGCCAAGTGCGTGAAAGAGGCCATTCTAAACCACCCAGCCCCAGCCAAGACAGTCCTGACAGGAAGTGTGTAGCTTGACCCATGGAATCAAAAGAAATAATAAATATTTGTCTTTTTTTTTGAGACGGAGTTTCGCTCTCATCACCCAGACTGGAGTGCAGTGGTGCAATCTCAGCTTACTGCAACCTCCGCCTCCCAGGTTCAAGCGATTCTTCTGCCTCAGCCTCCCGAGTAGCTGAGACTACAGGTGAGCACCACCACGTGGGCTAATTTTTGTATTTTTAGTAGAGACGGGGTTTCACCGTGTTGGCCAGGATGGTCTTGATCTCTTGACCTCGTGATCTGCCCACCTCGGCCTCCCAAAGTGCTGGGATTACAAATATATACACCTGACTACAGTGGCTTAAATAGATAGGGATTTATTTGTCTTATACAACAGGAAGTACAGAGGTAGGCAGTTCATTCATGATTCAGAGCTCAGCGATGCCACTGGGTGCCCACCCGGGCCTTCTTGCTCCTCCATTCCACTATCCTTTGGCCTGCTGCTGGTGTCTGCTGATCCCCAAGGTGGCTGCTCCAGCTTCCAGTCAGAGCTCCAGGGGTGAGAAAGGAGACAAGACAAAGGGACCAAGGGTGAATGCTTTCTCCTAGAGAAGCTGGAAGGGAAGCCCTCCACAGGGACTTTTCCTTATATGCCATTAGCCAGATTGGTACAATATGGCCTGCCCTAGCTGCAAGGGAGGCAAGAAAATCACGATGATTAGCTTTGAGCCTACACGGTGGAGGAAAGTGATGGCTGAGCAATGATTACGTAGATTTAGTATCTGCTGAGGAGCTGTGGTGTCTGCTGCACTGGCTCTCTGGGGTTCTGCGGGTTTTTGTCTCTCCTTGTTGCATAGGTACTCCAGTGTCCTTTTTCTTCTGAAGACTGGCTTTGTTTTCATGAACACGAGGGGGAAAATGGTGGCTGTAGCCCTGGAACTGCATGAAGACTCTCAGCTCTATATTTGGGACTATGGTACAGTCTAATATTTTCATGTATTAGGTTCTTGAACATGTCTGAGATTTTCTAGAGTATTTGTAAAGTCAATTTATGCTCCCCTTTCTTACTGACTTATTTATTTTTGAGACGAGGTCTTGCTCTGTTGCCCAGGCTGGAATGCAGTGGCACAATCATAGCACACTGTAGCCTCAACCTCCTGGGCTCAAGTGATCCTCCCAGCACAGCCTCCCAAATAGCTGTGACTACTGGCACACGCCACCACATCAGCTAATTTTTAAGTTTCTTGTAGAGATAGGGTCTCACTATGTTGCCCAGGCTGAAATGGAACTCCTAGGCTCAAGCAGTCCTCCCGCCTCAGCGTCTCAAAGTGTTGGGATTACAGGTGTGAACCACCATTCCTGGCCTCTCACTGGCTTTAGACCCTAACCACATGTAAGATGTGCCTCCTATGCAATATCGCTCCAAGAATTTGCCCTATTTCTCCCAGGTTTAATCCGTTTAAAAAATACATTTTTTTAAAATTGTGGCTTTAAAAAAAATAAAAACAGTAGGCCGGGTGTGGTAGTTCATGCCTGTAATCCCATCACTTTGGGAGGCCGAGGCGAGCAGGTCACCTGAGGTCAAGAGTTTGAGACCAGTCTGGCCAACAGTGACACCCTGTCTATACTAAAAATACAAAAAATTAGCCAGGCATGGTGGCGGGTGCCTATAATCCCAGCTACTTGGGAGGCTGAGGCTGGAGAATCACTTGAACCTGGGAGGAGGTGGAGGTTGCAGTGAGCGGAGATGGTGCCATTGTACTCCAGCCTGGGTGACGAGTGAAACTCCGTCTCAAAAAAAAGAGTATTAATGACTTCCGGCTCTTCCAATTTTTTTTTTTTTTTTTTTTTTTGCTGCCTGGCCACACAAGAATGGCAGTGAGGGGACGGATGGATGGAGAGAAGGCAGGGCTTGGAAGCAGCAAATAGTACAGCAAATGAGAATGGAGGTCTCTCCAGGCACTGTGCAGAAGGAGCTTGTGACCGGGGCAGCGTGTGCTCTTTGGTGACTGGGGACTTGGTCTGTCCTTGTGGCCTGGGATGGTAACAACTAGGCCATGTGGTGTACCAGAATGGACAGTGTGAGATGGAATTAGAAACCTGGGTTCAAGACCCAACTCGAGTTTACTGGCTGTGTGATTTTAGGCAGGCCATGTAAGTTCTCAGGGCCTCAGCTTCCTCATCTGTCAAATGGCGAACATAATACTATTCACCTCCCAGCGCTGGGGGAGCATTAAATGAGATGTGTTTTGAAAATTGTGGAGTGCTATATAGATGTTAGTCATTATTACGGAAGCAATAAAACGATTGGTGTTCTAAATTTATTATAATAAACAGATTTTTTTTTTTTTTTTGAGATTGAATCTTACTCTGTCACTCAGGCTAGAGTGCAGTTGTGTGATCTCGGCTCACTGCAACCACCACCTCCTGGGTTGAAGTGATTCTCCTGCCTCAGCCTCCCGAGTAGCTGGGATTACAGGTCTGGCTAATTTTTGTATTTTTAAAATATATATCTATATATATTTTATTGCATTTTAGGTTCTGGCGTACATGTAAAGAACATGCAGGATTGTTGCATAGGTACATACATGGCAATGTGGTTCGCAAAAATGGAACGCTCCACGAATTTGCATGTCATCCTTGTGCAGGGGCCATGCTAATCTTCTCTGTATTGTTCCAATTTTAGTATGTGTGCTGCTGAAGCAAGCACAATTTTTGTATTTTTAGTAGAGATGGGGTTTCACCATGTTGGCCAGGCTGGTCTTGAACTCCTGACCTCGTGATCCACTCGCCTTGGCCTCCCAAATTACTGGGATTATAGACGTAAGCCATCGTGCCAGGCCATAACTGAGATTTAAACTCACTGTCCCAAGGCCCTGATAGCTCCAAAGTTACAATTCTACCTGAGGATCCAGGGTAAGTTTCATGTTTTCTCAAGTTTGAGTCTGTCGGAACTCTTAGGAGTTTTGGTATTTGGGTACATCATGACCCAATGTGGAACCACATAATTATATCTACGAGGCCTGGACATCTGGGCTACAAACTTCTATTCTTCATACACCTGAGTTTGTGTACATTCATAGGTGGTTTTTTTTTTTTTTTTTTTTTAGACGGAGCCTTGCTCTGTCGCCAGGCACCAGGGTGGAGTGCAGCGGCGCAATCTCGGCTCACTACAACCTCCGCCTCCTGGGTTCAAACAATTCTCTTGCCTCAGCCTCCTTAGTAGCTGGGACTACAAGCACGTGCCACCACACCCAGCTAATTTTTGTGTTTTTTAGTAGAGACAGGGTTTCACCAAGTTGGCCAGGATGGTTTCGATCTCCTGACCTCGTGATCCGCCCACCTCGGCCTCCCAAAGTGCTGGGATTACGGGCGTGAGCCATGGCACCCGGCCCATAGGTGTTTTTTAAAAAGAACCCTTCTCCCCACACACTCCAAAATATAATATTGTTCAAAATACTGGTCTAGAAAGCGAAACACCAGGGTAACAATCTTTAAAGTCCTACAAAAGCAACTCAGTATTTTGACACAGACGACATGGAAGAGTCACATGAACTCACAGAGGGTCACACGAGGCCTGGTGGGATGAGGTTTCTCTAGTACCTTCCACCAGGCTTCGAATGCAAAAGGCTCTGGCTGGACTTGCTGGAGGTCTCTTTTCTCAGCATCTCTCTTTCTTGGTCCATCTTTAGGGTGGCTTTTCTGGTTCCAACCTATGACAAGCAGGAGAAAAAACACACAAACTCCATTGCAGTGAGACTCCAATTGTTCCACTCAAGTGGTTTTGTTATTTTTTATTTATTTATTTTTAAAATGAGGAGGACTAGACACTTCCCATGTATTTTATTGTATTTATTTATTTACTTAAAAAAAAAATTGAGACAGAATCTTGTTCTGTTGCCAGGCTGGAGTGCAGTGGAGTGATCTCGGCTGACTGCAAACTCTGCCTCAAGGTTCCAGTGATTCCCCTGCCTCAGCCTCCCAAGCAGCTGGGACTACAGGAACATGCCACCATGCCCAACTAATTTTTGTATTTTCAGTAGAGATGGGGGTTTCACCACGTTGGCCAGGCTGGTTTTGAACTCTTGACCTCAAGTGATCTTCTCACCTCAGCCTCCCAGGGTGCTGGATTTATACTTAAGGGATTACAGGCGTGAGTCACCGCATCCAGCCGGTTTTATTATTTTTTTTAAGAGATAAAATGATTCATCATTATCATCTTACTCAAAGATGAGCCTTAGTAAGGTTTTGGGGTGGCCGCTCCAGATACACAGATATTGCTTTCTCTTTCTCTATTCTCTTTTTCTTTTCTTTTTTCTTGATGCGGGGTCTCACTCCACTGCCCAGGCTGGAGTGCAGGGGAGCGATCCTGGCTCACTGCAGCCTTGACCTCCTCATGCTCAGGTGATTCTCCAACCTCAGCCTCCCAAGTAAGCTGGGACTACAGGTACGCGCCACTATGCCCAGTTTATTTTATTTTATTTTTTGTAGAGACAAGGTTTTGCCATGTTGCCCAGGCTGGTCTCGAATTACTGGGCTCAAGTGATCTGCCCTCCTTGGCCTCCCAAAGTGCTGGGATTACAGGCGTGAGCCACCAAGCCAGGTCTATTTACATATTTTTTAGTTTGAAACCTAAAAAATATGGGGGGGGGGTTGTTATGGCAAGCACATTCGTTGTGATGGTGTTCTTCCTAAAAAGCTGTTAACTGAACTGAATGTGTCTAATGTCTCTGATGGCTTAGAACTGGGTGTCCAATCTTTTGGCTTCCCTGGGCTACACTGGAAGAAGAATAGTTGTCTTGGGTCACATGGAAAATACATGCACACCAACAGTAGCTGATGAGCTAAAAAAAAAAAAAAAATTCCTAGAGTGTTTTAAGAAAGTTTACGAATTTGTGTCAGGCTGTATTCAAAGCTGTCCTGGGCCTCCGGTTGGACAAGCTTGGCTTAGAAGGAGAAAGTGAAGTATGCTTAAGGGAGGGTCTGTTTAACCCTTTGAGCACCTCCCAGCTCGAAGGAGGGGGCATTCTGGTGGCCGGGTGTATGACCCCCTCCCAGGTCGTAGCTGATTGGACACTTGGCACAGCTGGGCTTTTCCGATGCCCACTCCCAACAGTTGGGGTAATGGGTTGTGAGATGCCACTCGCTCCCTGGGCTGGCCTTTTTAACTGCGGGCCTGGGAGGTTGTCCCTTCCTGTCATACAACTGGAGAGAGAAGAAATAAGCAGGGGGGCAGTATAGAGAGGGGCAGAGGAATGACATGGATACATGTGTGTGCTCGAGTGCGTGCATGCACGAGAGACGATGCCTGGGTATCTTCCTCGTTCTCTCCTGGAGCTTTAATAAGGCACTTATTTCTGTATTCTTATAAAAGGCCCCCACTGCGCCCCCTTTCTGAGTAGGTTTTTGTTAACTGCAACCCAAGGTCTCTCGCCCACACAATTCTGGAGACACTGGGGACACTACTGTGGTTTGCAGGTTTCTTTCCAACAGGATTCACCTTGCCAATCCCATCTCCTGCAAAGCCATGCCACCAGACTTCAGGCTGCACGTATACCCGGGGCAAGACGGCTGGGTGGCCGGTCGCGTTTCAGCTCTGCCACTTGCTACGTGACCCTCAGTTTCCTCATCTGTCAAACAGGGATGAATGTGGATCCTGCCTTCCTCAGAGGGCGGAGAGGAGACTCTGGGAGGATTTCTGTGGAAGGGTCTGTTAGGACCATCTCTTAAGCTCTTTGCACCTTAAGATGGATTTAAAAATCACCTCCTTCAAGCCTGTAATCCCAGCACTTTGGGAGGCCGAGGCGGGTGGATCACGAGGTCAAGAGATCGAGACCATCCTGGTCAACATGGTGAAACCCCGTCTCTACTAAAAATACAAAAAATTAGCTGGGCATGGTGGCGTGTGCCTGTAATCCCAGCGACTCAGGAGGCTGGGGCAGGAGAATTGCCCGAACCCGGGAGGCGGAGGTTGCGGTGAGCCGAGATCGCGCCATTGCACTCCAGCCTGGGTAACAAGAGCGAAACTCCGTCTAAAAAAAAAAAAAAAAAAAATCACCTCCTGAGGCCCGTGACAGTGGCTGACGGGCGCCTCAAATGCGTTTTGAGACTCTGCATTCAAGATTGTTTCAGGGCAAGAAAGGGTCAGTCAGTCTCATACTAGCCCACATATTTGTCCGAATGCCCAGGGAAAAAGAAAACAGCAAACTCAAAAGCCTTCTCCCTAAACAACCCTTCCTTTTCATTTGATTTTCAATAAAATTGCTGACTGTGGGTGGTTTCCAAATGCCAGTGCCCTGACCCTGCGTGGAGTTGGCTGTCAGAGTTGGAGCCAGGGAGTTTGTGAGAGTCCCGGGTCCCCAGGGCCCCAGCCCCAGGGCTGCCAGGAGCATGGGATGGGAAGCACCACGGAAGGGGCTTTGGTTCTCTTTTTGAAGTGACAAGGGATGGGGCAGCAGAAGGCAGCCTGGACGGCTGACCTGGGACTGGAGAACGTGAAATGCACAGATTCCGCTTATTTGGAACCAGGTGCCTCACCCTTAGAATGGGAAGGCATGGATAGAAGCCAGTCATTTAAATAGCGACACCCAGGTGTGAATGGACTCAGGCCATCCTGGGGTGGCTGCTTCAGGAAATGGCACGCCTGGGCTGTAGGAAGCCCCCTGCCCACTCCCACATCGCCCCTGGTCTGGGTTTAAACATTCCGCACTCAGGGAGGCCTCTCCTGGAGCTTGAACTGGGGGTGACGGGGTCCCTGTGACATATGCTCAGCTCAGTCCAGGGGCATTTGTCCTCCAAACACTGGGCACAAAATTATTATTTAATCATTATGTGTATTTACTTTAAAAAAAAGAAAAAAGAGGCCAGGGGTGGCTCGTGCCTGAAACCCCAGCACTTTGGGAGGCTGAGGTGGGAGGATCACTTGAGCCTGGGGATTGCAGTGAACTGAGATTGCGCCATTGCACTACAGCCTGGACCACAGAGCAAGACCCGGTCTCCAAAAAACAAAACAAAACAAAAAACAAAACAAAAGGCCCAGGACTGTAAGCCAGGCTCTTCATCGAGCTAACTCTGTGTTTCCCAACCTTTCTTTAATTATCAACCTCACCCCCTGAGAATTCTTAGAGGTTTTTTTCTAACCCCTTCACCCTTTTACAGATAGGGGTGTGTGTGTGTGTGTGTGTGTGTGTGTGTGTGTGTGTGTGTGTGTGTGTGTGTGTCTCCACGTCTATGAAGATATGTCTATTGCTTTAAACATAAAAGAATGAAGTTTTGGCCAGGTGCAGGTGCTCCTTCCAATTTGGGAGGGCGGATCACCTGAGGTCAGGAGTTCCAGACTAGCCTGGCCAATATAGTAAAACCCTGTCTAAATTAAGAATACAAAAATTAGCCAGGTGTGGTAGTGCACGCCTGTAGTCCCAGCTTTTCTGGAGGCTGAGGCAGGAGGATTGCTTGAACCTGGGAGGTGGAGGTTGCAGTGAGCTGAGATTGCGCTACTGCACTCCAGCCTGGCCTGGGTGATACAGTGAGACTCTGTCTCAAAAAAAAAAAATGAATTTTTGCCCCCTCGAGGGTGATACTGTCCCCATTGAGGATTCGTCATTGAATCTTAACACCTGGACAGCCCCTGCCACGCTGCCACGTTGCTGACTCTTAATATCTGTTGCGTGAGTGAATGTCAGGACAGTCTCTGTGTTCGCCCTTCTCTCCCCGGTGCTTAGCATGGTAGGTGGCCTGGCCCAGGTACTCAGTAAGTACTTGTTAACTGGAAGATTTTCCTTTTTAGCATATAGCCCACAAACAAGACTGTTGGTCAAAAAAAAAAAAAAAAAAAAAAAAAAATCAATGAATGGTATTTTGGAGGACAGAAAAAAACTCATAGGTCCTTGAAAAGAAAGGCACAGATCCAGCTCGGAAGCTTACCAGCGATGGACACTTTTTTTATGAGCATACAAGTCGGAAAGGCTGGATTGTCCATGTTCCATCTTCCTCGGGGTGGTCACGATGACTCACTCCATCACCTTAAGGACTCAAAGGACAGAGACCCCAAGCTACATGTTGCAAGGTACCTGGAGGAAACCTTTTTTTTTTTGAGACGGAGTTTCGCTCTTGTTACCCAGGCTGGAGTGCAATGGCACGATCTCGGCTCACCGCCACCTCCATCTCCTGGGTTCAAGCAATTCTCCTGCCTCAGCCTCCTGAGTAGCTGGGACTACAGGCATGCACCACCATGCCCAGCTAATTTTTGTATTTTTAGTAGAGACAGGGTTTCACCATGTTGGCCAGGATGGTCTCAATCTCTTGACCTCGTGATCCACCCATCTCAGCCTCCCAAGAGTGCTGGGATTATAGGTGTGAGCCACCGCCCCCAGCCTGGAGGAAACCTTTTTGCACCAAGGAGGTCCAAACATCAAACTCCTTTGCCTTTTGCATCAAAGAAAAATGGACTTTTTTCTCAAGCCATGTCTGGGGGGCTGGATAAAGAAGGTCACTCTATTCTCAGGCAAAGCACCAACTGCCCCCATTCTGTCGAGCCTAAAATTGCAGGGGGCTTCACATCTAAGAGGACCACAATATCCCTACATCCAGGGCGCATTCCAGTGTCAACACTGTCATTTACATCTCCATGTCATTATCAGCCACACCTGGCAGCGGGCGGTGTCTGCCTGCTCCAGTCTCTCCCAAGTGTGTGGATGATTAAGTAACGGGCCTCCCCTTCATTCCCACTTTCAGGTGGCAAATGTCTCAGGTCCAGGGAGACCCTGGGGACACTCTCTACCCTCCTAACATCCAGAGCAGCGGCCACCTTCTAGTAGTCTTCGGACAATGGTGTCAGTTAAGAAGAGGCTTCTATTTTCCAAGAATGTCCCCTGCATAGAGTATCTTCAGTTCTTCTAATGATAATTTTGTTTCAGAATAACTGTGGCCTTTTATCAAATTTGTTCAATAAGTCTCTCTTATTCAACCAAAATGTGTTTTGCGTTCAAGCTTCCTGAGAGCTTCCCTCTACTTTCTGCAAAGCAAGAGTGGATTGGGTCAATTCCAGTTCCAGGGCTCATGTGTGAATGGCAATGATTCAACGTGTTTAAGATTTCATAGACTCGATTCCCAACTTTTAAAAAAGAGTATTCATCCAGGCGCAGTGGCTCACTCCTGTAATCCCAGCACCTTGCGGGGGAGGGCCGAGGCTGGAGGATGGCTTGGGTCCAGGGGTTGGAGAACAACCTGGGCAACACAGCGAGGCCCTGTCTCTTAAAAAACAAAAAAAAGAGCTGGATGCTGTGGCTCGCGCCTGTAATCCCAGCACTTTGGGAGGCCGAGGTGGGCAGATCACCTGTGGTAAGGAGTTCAAGACCAGCCTGACCAACATGAAGAAACCCCATCTCTACAAAAATACAAAATTAGCCAGGCGTGGTGGCACATGCCTGTAATCCCAGCTACTCAGGAGGCTGAGGCAGGAGAATCACTTGAACCAGGGAGGTAGAGGTTGTGGTGAGCCAAGATTGTGCCACTGAATTCCAGCCTGGGCAACAAGAGCAAAACTCCATCTTAAAAAAAATAAAGAATTCTAGAGGATGCTTCCCTGAAATTCAAGAGACATGCCACCCAAACTATATCAGGTTTATTACCTGAAGGAGAGCAAGAAGCACTCGCCTGGTGTTGAATCTGCATTGAGTTCCACTGAGTTCTCATACTTAGTTTTGTGGCTCTGGACAAATTAAAGTCTGTGAGCCTCAGACACCTCCTCTGTAAACTGACTCACCCACAGGGTGCTGTGAAGATTGAATGAGAGAATGCATGCCAAGTGTTTGGCCCTGTGCCTGGCACATACTAAGTGCTCCACGCAACAGGTGTGACATTGATGACAGTTGGGGCTCCTGCCGACGTCCTATCTTCTCTCTGCTCACCTGGGAATTCGAGTTCTGCATCCTGTTCTTCACCATCTCTACAAATACGCGTCTCTTTAATATAGAAAGAATAGAAACAAAATTTAGCTTAGATTCCTCTTTGCCTTTTGCATCAAAGAAAAATGGATTTTTCTCAACTTTCAGATGCTACCCATTTGGAATGCTAGGGCTTCCCAGGGACAGCATTTTAAATGGGTAGCAACTGAAAGTTGAGGAAAATCCATTTTCTCAACAAGAAGGGGGTGCGGCTTTTGGGAGACCTGGAGCCCCATCTTGCTGAGTCTCTTGGGGGTCTCTGTTCCAGATTCCAGCAGAGGTGGAGGCTGCTCAACCCAGGGCCTGTGCGGAACACTGCTCTTCTCAGAGGCCCGTGTTTGTTTTAGCTGGAGGCTGCGCATCCCAGAGCAGGTGGAAGGGGCTGCAGAGGCCCCGTGGTTCACACCTCCACATCCCAGTGGCTCAGGCATGGTGGAACCCATGATGGTTGAACCCCCCTCAGGGGGCCTGTTTGAATGCTATTGTCACCCGAAATCTGAAGCCTGCTATTTCCCTGGGTTTGATTTACAATTGCTGACCCTGCAGTCCTCAAGATGTGGCATCTCAGAGATAGTTCTTGAAGAAAGAGCAGCCCGAGATACTGGGGACACCTCAGATAGGGAGGGAGCTGGGCCCCCCTCTCAGAGATCCCCAACCTTCCGCAGGGGTCACCAACCTCATGCCTACAGGGGCCAGGAAGTCAAAGAAGGGGGTGAGATGGAGATGACAGCAAACCCCGGGTCCAGGTCCTTTCTAAAGGGGCTGGAAGCTGGTGGCATGTAGGACTGTGGACCTAGTGTCCCCAGAGTATCCAAATTTCCCAAAGAAGCCAGAAATCTGGAGTATTCTGGTAAAGTGCCTTTTTTTTTTTTTTTTTTTTGACGGATTCTTGCTCTGTTGCCCAGGCTGGACTGCAGTGGTGCGATCTTGGCTCACTGCAACCTCCACCTCCCTGGTTCAAGTGATTCTCCTGCCTCAGCCTCCCCAGTAGGTGGGACTACAGGCGCCCGCCATCACACCCGACTAAGTTGTATTTTTAGTAGAAACGAGATTTCCCTGTGTTAGCCAGGATGGTCTCGATCTCCTGACCTTGTGATCTGCCCGCCTCAGTCTCCCAAAGTGCTGGGATTACAGGCCAAACTTTACTGGACTCAGTGGGCTGTGATGACATTGACCTGTCTCAAGAGCTGTTCTCAGCCACGGCTTAGCCCACGTCACGTGGCTTCTGCATGAAGCCTGTTCTTAAAGATGCTGCTCTCTATGTCACACAATGTCCCCTCAAGGGGGAGAGTCCAGCAAGGTCTTTGTTCTAAGAACACTTGCAAGTATCCATCCATTGAATCTTACAGACACTGTCAACTGCCACCAAGTTGGTTTCCCATTTCTGGTTGGCTGCCAGGAAGGTGGAGTCAAGCAGGGCTCCCGTCAGCCGGCCTGGGGGTGGAAGTGCTGATTCGAGGCACTTTCATCCTGCTTAGTTCCCGGCTCCGTTTTGTAACCACTCCCACCATCTTTCACCCTCCTCATTTCATTCTTAGGACAGGGATTCCTGGGGCTCCTCGCTCCTCCCTTCTCTTATGGCCTTGTCTCCAAGTCACCAAGTCACTTAGTGGCCTAGGATGGCTGCTCCATGAGCTAAAGCTGTGCTGGAATTTCCCCTCTGCCTTCTCTCACCTCAATGGACTGGGCTGGACACTGGCTTGTCTCTTAGGTCCTGTATTCAAACTGCAGGCAGGTGGGGCAGCGGCTGGGGAGGGAGGGGAGGGAGGGAAGGGAGGGAAGGGAGGGAGGTGTGCGGTGCACCTTGGGCAGCGCATGCAGGCGTTTGCACACCATGAGCTCTTACCCCCTGTTGAAATTGCCTCTACTCTGTGTCTGCAACATCAGAACACCTCCCCTACCTGCCTGTCTTTCTCTTTGAAGGCACAGTTGCAAGGTGTCGATTCTTTTGTGTTTCTCGGTTCATGCTCCTCTGCACGCTCCTGAGTGAAAGTATTAGGTTAGCAAGAGAGTGCTTGGTGTGTCCTTACCTGTTCCAATCTGGGACATGCCTCTGAGGTTTCTAGGAGATGCTAGGACTCGCTGAATAGGTGGGCAGAAGATAGGGGATCACTGCGTGGGAGTCTTTTTCTTTTTCTTTTTTAGTTGAGACAGGGTCTCACTCTGTCACACAGGCTGGAGTGCAGTGGCACGACCACGGCTCACTGTAGCCATGACCTCCCAGGCTCAAGCAATCCTCCCACCTTAGCCTCCCAAGTACCTGTGACTACCAGTGTGTGCCATCACACCCAGCTAACTTTTTAAAAATTTTTAGTAGAGATGGGGTTTTGCCATATTGCCCAGGCTGGTCACCAACTCCTGGGCTGGCTCCCCCTGAAATGTTTCTGCTGAAAATTCCAGCCATCCTTCTCCATCAGCCTCCCAAAGTACTGGGATTACAGGTGTGAATCACCATGCCCAGCTAATTATTTATTTTTTTGTTGAGATGGGGATCGTGCTATGTTGCCCAGGCTGGTCTCAAAGTCCTGGCCTCAAGTCATCCTTCTGCCTCAGCCTCCCAGAGTGTTAGGATTACAGGTGTGAGCCACCGCACCCGGTCTGGTGCCTGTTTCCTGAGCCATCTTGTATCCACACACTGCAACCGTCTAGCCAGATCTTACTTCTCCATCCTTGTAAGGGCCCGAGATCACCCTGCAACCCCCATCTCATTTTCATCCCGCACATCTACCAATTGCTACTTTTTGGTCAAAAACACACAGTGTTTTTGAAGTGAAGAAACCCGGATCTTGAAAATACCTGGGCCCAAGAAAATCTTGGGAAATAGTGAGTTCAATGAAACAGGACTGATACGAGGATGCATAAAACAGTACTGATATGCTGGCCAGGTGCGGTGGCTCACACCTATAATCCAAGCACTTTGGGAGGCCAAGGTGGGCAGATCACTTGAGCCAGACCAGCCTGGCCAACATGGCAAAACCCCCGTCTCTACTAAAAAAACAGAAACATTAGCCAGGCGTGGTGGTGGACACCTGTAATCCCAGCTGCTTGGGAGGCTGAAGTGGGAGGATCGTTTGAGCCTGGGAGGCGGAGGTTGCAGTGAGCCAAGACTGTGCCACTGCACTCCAGCCTGGGTGACCGAGCAAGACTGGGTCTCAAACAACCAAACCACACACACACACACACACACACACACACACACA